GAGGAAGATGCAGAATCCAGATTTCTTCAGTGGATAAGGATAAAAAATGCGGCTTTCCTGGTCTCAGACGGAGCAGCAACAGTAACTGCCTTCAGGAATGCCCCTCAGGGGTTGGGGCTGACTTGCCTGGGCCACCCCTCTGTAGAAAGGGCAGTAAGAGAGGACAAGTGAGACCCCAGATGAAGACCTCCCTGATAGCATTTGGGAGCAGCGGCCGAATCCAAGGTCCATGCCGGGGTCAGAGAACATTCTGGGCACATGGCTACTCCAGGGCAGGGTGGCCGGGCCCAGTTCCTGCTGCCATTTCATCGTGGTGTCCCATTACAGAGTGGCATGCTGGTTACGTAGCTGGTTAGTGCTGCCCAGACTTGCCTGGCCCCCATCCCTGCCCAGTCCCCACAACACAGGCAGTGGGTGGGGAGGGAAGGGCGGGGGGCCTGGGAAGGCACACAGAGGCACCCGCAGCGCCCTGGGGTGTGCTGAGGGTGATGAGACACCCTACTTCTGAGCTGGCTGAGAAACCCCTGAAGCCAGTCCTTGCTCAAGTCATAGATGGCCCTGTTGGCCACTCCCACCAGGTGAAGAGAGAGGGAGGGTTTCTTCCTGGAGTCCCTTCCCCAGCAGCTGGGCTGCAGCCTCAAGTCCAGTGTCCAGTCCCAGTCCCCCTCCTCCCCCCCACCAGCCCACCAGCCAGACTGCAGTCAGCTGGGGGCTGTACCCTCTGCGTCTGGCCCATCCTTCCTGCAGGTTGAGGGGTGTTTACATCTCAGGCCACATGCTGATGCTCGGAGACTCAGAGACCAAAGTCTCCTGCCATCCACCACCCTGATCTCCTCTATGGCTTGCTGTGACCGTGTGACCAGTGTGACCACAGCAGTCCACTCCTGTCCCTCCAAGGGCACCTGACATTACAGTAACTAGCTTCTTCCTAGGGCCCATTCTGAGGGCAGTGGCTGCAAAGTCACAGAGACTTTGGGGTTCAGACCCAGCCTCTGCCTGAGCCAACCTCCCCTCATCCCCCATCTCTGAGCCTGAGGTTAGGTCCTCCATTCATGGCCCCCAGCCATGCCCAGGCCCTAGCTGACCCTGGCTGAGAAGGAGTCCGGGCAGGACATCGGGGATCCTGGCCTCAGGAGTCCTAAAGGGTGAGCTTCCATCAGGCCCCGCACCCGGCAGGCTCCTCCTGGTACACTTCCAGCCCTGTGTCAGCATGAATGGAGAAGCCGCGGTCCCACTCTGAGAACCGGTTTATTGACGCAGCAACCTCAGGACAAGACAGGCCTTCCCGGCAGTGACATCCAAGGGGGAGCCAGTGCCTCCCGGGCCCCCAGGGCCTGAAACTTGTAGATGGAGGATGTCCCCTCAGCCAGGCCTGGATGACTGGAGTGCCCCAGGTCAGGTGGACGCTTGCTTAGGGAGGCTGGGGCAGGGTCTGCCAGCAGGTTCCCTGTGCCACACTCTCAGAATGGGAAGGCTTTGTTCTGGGCCCTGCCAGCTCTCCCAGGGAGGTAACTGCAAATGCAGTAGGCAGAGCTCCGGGGCTTCCTTCCCAGAGACTCTGTGTCCTGCTGGGACAGTCCAGGAAACCTGTCTACCTCACACCCTATCCGGGCAGAGCCTTCTGTTCTGGGCACTTTGGATCACAGCAGGAAGAAGCAGGGAGACAGATCACAGAGCCGAGGACAGTGTCCAGGCCCCATGCTCCCTGGCCCGGCCTGGGCTGCTCAGGGGACTGACAGGGCAGAAGAAACACCAAGGGGGCAGCCTGAAGGGGAGGGGGTCCTAAAGACAATGACCATTGGCCTGATGGGACCCTGCAGCAGGTGACCCTGTCTGGTGTCTTGGCCTCCCCACCTGAAACTCAACACCACACAGCTCTGCCACTTCTGCTGACACAAGGGCATGCACTGATTCAGCCAAAGAAATCAAGGTCACAGACGGGGACCAGCCCAGGAGGCCCCTCTGCACACAGCTGGCCCATCCTGGGGCCCTGCATGGAGGTGAAATGAGCCTCGCTGGCAGACAAGACCCTGCCCTCAAGCCAAGGGCTCATGGCACCACAGACACGGCCATGCTGAGCTTCAAACCTATGCTGCCCACTTGCTTAGAGAGGCAGCCAGAGGGTGGGAGCAGCATTGGGAAGAAGAGCCAACGCTGTTGATATGGGCACTGACTCAGTAGACAGGGTGCCCAGCTGATGTCAGAGGCCGTCCCTGGTGGGCTGGTCACTCCACTTTTGGGAGTACCAGTCTTGATGTCTCAACACAGTGAGACCCCAGCCAGTCATGGCCAAGTCCATGACCAGGAGCAGGTGGAGAGTGCCATCTGCAGGCGGATCAGGGAAGTGCAGGTGAGGGCCAGCCCTAGAAAGCAGGACAGGTGCAAGTACAGGTGCGATTTAAAACTGTACAGGAGCCTCGTTAATGGAATCCAACATACACAGGTGACATTAATATCACTAATGCATTTATACAACACGAGAAACCCAAACATCAGCACTCCACATGCAATCTGAGATCTTTTCTAGCACCATCGGGACCCCGACCTGCTGCTGAGCGCTGTGCAGAGCGACTCACCAAGTGTCCAAAGTATGACGAAGCCCGCCCTCCAGGTGTGCTCATGGGAATGTGCCACAAAACACCAGTCAGCAGGAAAATCAAGTTACTTTATCTTACAATTCCATTTTTGTCAAATCAAAACAAACCATTACTTTGATGTTTCTCAACAGAGAGAAACAGCCTGGAAGATCAAGCAAACTGTCACCTGGCTCCATCTACCATCTCTCTAGGAGACAGGGTCATGGTGACTGTTTACTGTCTTGAAATGACACACAGGTCAGGGGGCTGTGAAAAATGTCACATCTGGCAGAACGGGGTGGCTCACAGTCTCCTCAACATGCACCTGCCCACGGTGGGCTTCCCGGCTAGCTACAGACTGGACCTTCTTCAGAGCAAGGCCGGAGCATTCTTAGCCCTGGGAAGAGCCCAGAGGAGGCCACACTTGATCAGGACAAGACACTGGGAGAAGCCCACTGCAAAGGGCCACCTGGCTACAAGCCTCACCTGCTGCTAAATGTCACCCTTGGTTTTTCCAAGCAGACACCAGTCACGTCTGCAGGCTGGGCTGGGCAGCACCAGGCAGGAATACCAAAGGGCACCAAGTCCAACTGCTGCACGTGGAGCCTGTGGCCCAGAAGTCTGGCAGGGTCAGGTGCTACAACTTGGGGGTAGGAGAGGCAGGATTAGGGACTTTAGGGCCCCAGGCTGGCCTATGGAGGAGCACGTTTTTAAGGCCTGAGAATGAGATTTTCCTTGGGTCAGGCGTGACAGGAAGCCCATCTGTTGGTCCTGGGAAGGAGGAGAGTGAAGGCACTGGGCTTGCAGACCCTTACTCTCCTGTGTCCCCCTCCTGCCCCAGCTCCACAGGTTCCCTGGCTCCTTCAGCAGGAGAGGGGTCTTGAATGGGAGTCAGGGCCTTCATCTGTCTTACCTGCTCTCCCAGGTCAGATGCCACAAACTCCCTCAAACACAAGTTCACTGGGCGTCCATGGTGAATCAGTCCCTCCACATCTACAATGTTATCTATACCCTGAATGCCACACTGAGACCCCTGAGAATGAAGCGGGGTACGCTCCCAACAGCCAAGTGAGGTACAGCTGGTCACCAGCAGCAGCTGCACCCGTCCCAGGGGTGGCCAACATCCCCAGGTGGCCATCAGTGATCTGTTCGAGACCACACCGACCAAGGACAGCACAGCAGTCTGGACTGGAGAAGGCTGGGCGGGGGGTGGGGGTGGTCCGCAGAGCAGTCGAGTTGGACCCTGTGCTGAGCAGAGCAGCCACTACCATGGAGCCCCCACTGACTCGTGACACCCCCCATGTGGTCAGAGCAGAACTGTGCACCAGAGGGTTCACATAGCTGTGATCTTTGGGGGAAAGAACACCAGGTCTTTCTTCTGAGGTACCTCTGACCTCAGGATTAGAAGCCAAGCGTGTTAACTGTTTTCACCACCTAGGCACTCCCTCTGTAATGTACACATAGTCCCAGAGTCCAGTGTCACTTTTTAGACTGATTCTGTGGCCAAATTAGATCAACAATCTAAATGCAGTGAAAACCAGAATTCAATGGAATTGCTTTACTTTTCCAGGTTTTTTGAAAGTTTCCCACTTTTTTGACACTTTACTACCTCTCTCTGTGAGTGGAAAGGATTTGAGCTTTCCTTCTCTGATAGATTTCTTTCTCTGACAAGTTTTACTTTCGCAGGTTTTATCGTCAAAGAGCAAAAACGAGAAAACTCTTAGGAGAAACCATTGGGTTAAATCCCTGTGGTCTTGGATTTGACAATGTTTTCTTAGATATGAATTCTACAGCGCTGCGCTGAGGGAAAAAACACAACAACTGGACTGCATATTAGAACTTTACCAAGAAAGCAAAAAGACAACCAGAGAATGGCAGAAAACACGTGAAAATCATACACCTCCTGTTGTTGTTAAGTGCCGCTGAGTCAGTTCCGACCCATAGCGACCTTGTATAGATAGGGTTTCCAAGGAGCAGCTGGTGAGCTTGAACCACTGATCTTATGGTTCAAATGACTTTGCAATCCAGCACATTAGCCCACAGCACCACACCAGGGCTCTGTATACCTCCCAAGGGCCTATATAAAATTCTCTTACGACGACAGAAGACCAACAACACAATGAAAACACAGGCTGATGACTTGAACAGACATTTCTCCAAAAAAAGATATATGAATAGGCAAATGCGCATGAGAAGATGCTAAAGAAAGAAAAAAAAATTTTTTTTAATTGCCTTTCCTTTCCCTTTCTGGTACAAATGGTCACCCAGACTTTTCCTCAGAAAACAGTTATATAAAAGTCAACGAGTGCTCACGTATGGTGCTGATATTTGGAGAAAATAACCACATTTGTTTTGGAAAATGAAACAACAGCCAGGCTGGGGATCTGAGGGGAAGGCAGGCAAACCAGCATTCTTGGCACTGACCTGAACTTCCCGGTCCGCACCTGCAGTGCCCGCATCCCGCACCGCTGGGCCCCTCCAATGTCGCCTTCGATGTCATCTCCAATCATGATGGCCTGTCAGGGCAGTGGAATACACTCACTCAGAGGGGTCCGGAGAATTTTATTCCTGCGCCCCTTCATCTTTTTGACATCATAAACTGCTCAAGTGGATATTGAAAACTACCATCATACAAATTAAACCAGATACTATTGTCATCGTATTGATGAAAAGTCAGCCCACCTTGAATAGGTATCCCAAGCCACATAGGGCCACAGCTCGGAATGGTATATATTTGTGCAATTTGAAATAACCAGCAGACATCAAAGTATCTTGGCACCACAAAGACGTGGGAGGCAGGGGTTGGGGGAGATGCTGAGGCTGGCTACCTCTGTGTCTACACATCACACAGCTGATTCCCTTCTACCTGCTGCTAAAAACTCGTTGTTGTTGTTGTTAAGTGCTGTCGAGTCAGTTCTGACTCACAGAGATCCTATGTAGGGTTTCCTAGGAGCAGCTGGTGAAGTTGAACCACCAACCTTGTGTTTCAAACCGACCTTGCAGTCCAGCCCATTAACGTACAACGCCACCTCAGGACTCCCCTAAATCGGCTATAATCAAGTTCTTTTCCTAATGCTTGCTTCCTCGAATCTTGTGTTTCCCAAACAGTGTTCCCCATATTACTGATACACTATCCGATTTTTGGTAGAAAAAGGACATCTTTTTCATTGTTTTTGTTGCTGAAAATATTGGATATAATAGAAAAGACCACATTATAAACAAATCCACTAACCCATTAGATTAAAACAGAATGATAGCACAATCACATATAAAAGTGAAAGACAAAACACTGGTGCCAAACAACACTTTAAAGAGGTCTGAGCCGGTCTCAGAAAGATCATTCTAGAAGTAGAGCAAACAACTTCAAGTGGGCACAAAACCCGGGAGCATCCACCCCACAAATCTTAGGAGAGTGGAAGGAAGGCAGACAGTCCTCCTTCAGCCTGTATTCAAAAGATGAGTCCAAGCGGAGAAAAAGACCCTATTTCCTGACGTTCTGAGAATGTCAGACCATGCCACCTGTCCCCTTAACTGACACCAATGCAGAAATGAGGAGTCTGTTGTCTGAGAACTTCCCATCCTTTTACTGAGTGTAGAGGAGCCACAGTGAGACCTTTAGCAAAAAACACACGGCTCTGGTGGGAAGAGGGTTTCCACCTTCCTCCTCCTGGTGCAGCTGGGCCACGAAGGAAAGGAATATGACGGGACATGTGTTTTTTAATGTTAATATTTTTGTGTTTATTTTTAGAGTCATCTATTTATGTGGTAAGCGTAGGATTCTGGCATGTAATCATGATCAAAAACACCTTTTGAAATCCATTCACTAAACTTATTTTTTTAAATGAGTCAATTTAAAGAAACGTTCCGTAAATAATAGTGCTAAATGTAAAAACGAATTTATTTTTCCAGAATGATTGATTTCGGGGAAACTGCCAAAACCCAAATGAATTTCATTGTTTATGTCTGTCCCACTGGTGGAGTCCTGGTGTGGCGCTGTGGATCACTGTGCTGGATTGCAAAGTCGGTTTGAACCTCAAGGTCGGCGGTTCAAGCTCACCAGTTACTTCTCAGAAACTCTACACAGGACTGCTATGGATTGGAACTGACTTGATGGCACCAACTGGTGGTGGTGGTGAAGTATCATCAGGTCGGTTCCAACTCACAGCAGTCCTGTATAGGGTTTCTGAGGTGGTAACTCTTTATGGGAGCACAGAGCCTCACCTTTCTCCAGAGGAGCGACTGGTGGATTCAAACTCTTGACCTTGCAGTTAGCAGCCCAATGCATAACCCACTGTACTACCAGTCTATCAAATTGTTGTTGTTAAAGTGCCATCGAGTTGGTTCCGACTCATAATGACCCTGTATAGAGGTCCCAAGGAGCAATTAGTGGGTTTCAAGTGCTAGCTTTCTGGTTAGCCGTCCAGTGCATACCTTACAGTGCCACACTGGGACTATCAAACTAAAAAAATCATCCAATTGACAATAAACAGCCCGTGGCAGTGTGTTTCCTAGAATGCCAACAGAGCCTGAGTCGGCAGCACATAGAGGTTCGTGTAAGGACCAGGAGCAGCGGGCTGGGCCTCAGGCAGCTGTGTCCTCTTAGGTTCTTCCCAAGGGCTTGGCCTGACACCTCTGGGTGTCTTGGAACAGTTCCAGTGTTTCCTGCTTAGGACCCAAAGGTTTACGCTTTACTGTTCTTTCAACGGTTGGTGTTTTGAACACATCCAGCGGCAACACAAAAGACAAGCCTAGCAATCTGTTTCCCTAAAGATGGCAGCCAGGAAACTCCATGGAGCAGTTCTGCTTTATAATACATGAGGTCGCTAAGAGCAGGAAGTGACTTGATGGTCGCTGGCTTGGTTGTGGTTTCCATTGCTGCCAGAGACTTCAGGGGCAATTGTGCTAGAAGATTCCTTATAAATACAATGGGTCTTTCAACTATTATTAGGAGTCCTGGTTATGGTACTGAATTGCTAACCCTAAGGTCAGCAATTTCAAACCCACCGGTCACTCTGAGGGAGAAAGAGCTGGTGATCTGCTCCTGTAAACTTTTCTGTTGTTAAGTGTCATCAAGTCATTCCAACTAATGGAGTTTCCGAGGAGCTGCTGGTGAATTTCAACCTCAAACCTTGCAGCTCAAACGGACCTTGTGATCGAGTGCTTATCCTACAGCTCCACACCAGGGTTCCCCTGTAAACGTTACAGTCCAGGAAACCCTATGGGCCAGTTCTATTCTGTCCTACTGGGTCGCTGTGAGTCAGAACTGACTGCATGGCACAAAACAATGATGACAACAACAACCAGTTAGTTCATGTCAAACTTGGTACTGCCCATGTTTCTAGAAAGAACACGCACACCCATGTGTCCAGCAGCAGAAATCCCCTCCCAGGACATCTTGGACTAGGCTGTTTGTTGATGTGACCCATGGCCATGCAGCCAGAGGATATGGTGCCTTAGAGAAAATACATGATTCTACACGATAAACCAGTGTCCCAATCCAGGGCGAGCCACAGGAGAGGGGGAAGCAGGGTGACGAGGAGTGGGTGGGGGGACTGAAACGGGGACAACAGAGGCGTGCAGCTGCCGGGGGCAGTGATGCCTGTCTGGGCCAGCTTGTGGGCTCCGCATACCAAACTGCACGCAGGGCCCTGGGGACTTCACAGATTTACTGTCGGTGAAGGGTAATAATCACACCAGGAGGAGCAATTATTGCCAAATCATTTAGGATTTAAAAAATCATTGGCAAGAAGATAGAGGTCAAGAGGTGCGCTGTCAGGGGAAATAAAAAAAACTCTACCTGTCAGTCCTGGGATTCGCTTCCTTTCTGACTGCAGTGTAGGAAAGGGGGCGGACTCGGATGGCAAAGCCCGGCCCCATGGAATCCGAGGATGGCAAGGAGGCACCACAGTGGCCAAGGCAGGTTTTCTGGTATGGATTCAAAATGCTCATCCTTCTTAAATACGTGTTTGCCTGCTAGGGTCTCCTCCTTTACCTCCGGGGAAAGAACCCTTGAGGTGAGGTTTCAGTGTGCAAACCACAGCCCACGTTTTCACCCACTGTTTTCATTACTCTAGGACTCTTGGGAGCAGCCCTTTCCCCATCATAAGGCAGGGGTGCGGGGAGCTCAGCCTCAGCCACTAACCCAGGGGAGCATACGCCCTTCACTGAGGCAGGGGAGGCACCTAACCCAAGAGTGGGCCAGACCCCTAGCCTCCAGACTCCAAAGAAATCCAAGCTTCATGAGAAACCCAGAGTTGTCTCACAGCTGAATAACTTCTTCCAGGGTCTGACAATTCAGGGAGAGCTATACCAACATGTCCAGGCTTGAAGACCAGTCATTTTGTTGGTAAGAATGCGGAGAAATTAGCATTCCTAAAGTCTCTGGATGATACAGTTCACTTTCGACTACTACCCTAAAAGGAGCTCTGGTAGGGTAGTGGTTACGAATCGCAAGGTCAGCAGTTCAAAACTACCAGCTGTTCTTCAGGATAAAGATGAGGCTTTCTGCTCCCGTAAAGATTTATAGCCTTGGAAACCCTATACAGGCTCACTATGAGTCAGAACTGACTGCACGGCACTGTACAACAACAACAACAACTACCCTAAAAGTTGCATTTAGGTTCAAACCCACCCACCCAGTGTTGCCAAAAATGACTTGACAATCTGCTTTCTGTATATTGTTGTTGTTGTCGTATGATATAAATCTTTGCAGGAGCAGAAAGCCTCATCTTTCTCCCACAGAACAGCTGGTAGTTTCAAACTGCTGACCTTGAGGTTAGCAGCTTGATTTGTAAAATGTACATATTTGTTGTTGTTAAGTACCGTGGATTTGGTTCCGACTCATAGTGACCCTGTACAGGGTTTCTGAGGCTATAAATCTTTACGGGAGCAGAACGCCTCATCTCTCTCCCGCGGAACCGCTGGTAGTTTCGAACTGCTGACCTTGCGGTTGGCAGCCCGACTCGTAACCAGAGCTCTTCTGTACATATAGGCACAGAAAAAAATGTACATGTAGGCACAGAAAAAACATTGGAGAGGTCAAGGGTGAGATGGTGTTATTCCAGGCTGCAATGATGGTAGTTCTCATTTTCTTCTTACATTTTCCTGAATTTCTCCTTTCCATCTTAAAGAACATAAAGATCTTCATTGTTTGTTGTAAGTGTTATCAACTTGACTCTAACTCATAGCAGCCCTGGAGAGGGTTTCAGATAAAAATACACTTCCTTCATACTTTGAGGAGGAGGAAATAAAAATGAGTACAGAAGGCTAAATTTAAGGGGAGAAAAGGTCTCAGGAAAATGTCATTTAAAGGCACCAAAGACAATTCTAGAACTAGAATTCCTGAGAACGCCATCAGTCTCAGACAGGCAGCTTAGCAGCTCTGAGTCTTGAGCCAAATCCGCAACAAGGTGAAAGGAGGAGATATGGTCTCTTATCCACACACTCCTTGGTGCCCAGCAACCCACCCAGTTCCTGTTAGGAAGAGAGCCAACTGTCACTGATGATACCCAAAGGC